ATTACATTTTCAATTTCTTACTTTGTTTACTGTAAGAACCAAATCTGTTAGCAGCTTTTTTTTTCTTTCTGTAATTTATAATTATGGGGTGAAGCAGCTTTTGGTGGTTGATTATTATCACTAGCATAAAACACTGTCTACTGATTTCCAGAAGACCTAACTTTACTGTGTACTTAGGTACATCTTCTTTCCCTATGCTGAAGTATTGGAGAAACTATCCCTCGCTCAGACTCAATAGTCTCACCCATAGACAACTTTTACTTGTTGATTCTTTCAAAAAACCTTTGTCCACTTCCCAGTATTTTGATTACATGGTTTTCTTTTACAACATATCCTTCTAGCCACTTTGAAAAATAGTCCATTACTACCATGACGCATTTATTGTGATCAGTTGAAGTTGGTAGAGAACAGCTACTTTTTTGAGTAGTGCCCCAGCACTAAACTGTTATCACTCCACATCATTTCTTCTATGTTCCCTGTCTTTCAAACATAGGTTGCATGTTCAACAACATTCTCTTACATTTTCTCTACAAAGTGTTTTTTAATCTAAGATATTGCCTAACAGCTTCTTACAAGTAATGCAACATCTTCTTTCACATGAGTTCATCAATATATTTATGAATGCAATCACTTTTCCACCTTCAAATTATAGTAGCATAAATCCTAATACAGGATCAATGGATTTTAAGTAGGTTAGCCCAAGTGTTGAGGTATGACTCTTTAAGAGCACAGAATATCTGATGATATTTTTACTAGATAATGTAGACAAACAATCTCCTACAGCACTATCTTGTCCACATTTCCTTTGCCTACTTTTATTTGGTAAACCAAGTAAGGCCAGGCAAATCTCAGAATCAATCCCTGGTTGAGAGTAGGTATCCTTCTTTTTTTATGACATCATTTACCTTCTGGTAGTTTAAACAGAAGCAAGTTTACCATTTATCAACAGTACTACCTGTTTTCTCATAACTTCTATATTCTTGAAAGCTTCTTCACCTTTGGCAAAAAGTAAATATCTAAGTCATTTGAGAAATGTTCAATATCAATTCCAAGACATATGCCACTTATTCAAAGTAAGCAAATTACCTAGTGTATTTTGTTGGTTTGACAAACTTTCCATTGCCGCATACTTTGAAAGTTTATTTCCACTCTTAATTGAACAGTCTGTCACACTTTCAACATTTACAAGAAGGATGTGCATAATTTTAAAGAATCTCTTAATCAATTCTATTACTTTTAATTCTGTCTGACAACAAAACTCAAACAAGTACACTAAAATCTGGCATATATCCTAAGATTACAAAGTACTCAAAGTTTCCATGATAATTTCATTCAAGTTAGCATAGTCCAATATTCAATTAATTCAAACATCGCATCAAACATTTCTATGTATTTACTGTACTTGTAACAAGATACAAAATATATGTGTTATCAGAATTAATTCTGCAATGTAATGAGAGTTAATTTTAACTTTTCAGTACAGATAAAATACAGCTTCATTAACTGCAGTTGGCATACACTCAATAGGAATATATTTCCAAGAACAAAGCAATAGAATGTGAGGATGTTCACTGCCTTTTTCAGTTCAATATCTGTGCTTAGTTCTACAAAGGGGGATCAATAAAGTAGAATATTAAAATGAAAAATAAACAGATATTACTTACTTGGTTCTGTTTAGCTATGTAGTCCAGATCCACACGGGTAACACTTTCATTGTGTTTCAAGGACAGTGAAAGAGCCATGAGACCAGCTACTTGAATCTTGTTGTCACGCAAGTCAACTCTCGTGATTTGTTTACTTTCAGCAAGGTATTCAGCTATAGCTACTGCACCTACAGAACATGAACAAAAATAGCAAATATTAGTGAGCAATAATCTTTGAACAAGTAAACAAATCCCAAAATCATGACATTCAAATGGATTTTGTTTCCACAGTTATAATAATTATTAGTTTTTAACAAAAAAAATCTCTCATCATCACATGACCTATGTAATTCTTTAGCTCAACAGTTTAAAGGTTTTTGCATAAATATCCCTCTAGTTGAAATGGAAATGTCCATTTCACCCTTCAAGTTATTAAAGAAAAATTAATTAACTAATGTTTTATTTTTACTGAACAATATGAGGAATGTTAACTTACCCCATCTTGGGCATTCAGTATCCTTTAACCAATAAGTTAAATTAAATTACAATATACGAGAAAAATATTCTTGCTCATTTTACTGCATTTATCTATATCCCCTCCTTTAAAATTATATTAATTAATTATATATATATATATATATATATATATATATATACTATGTCCTACAGCTGAGAAAATTACACTCTTTGCAAATCTAAAAAATCTGATACTAATGTCTAACTCAAATCATGTACAGCAATTATTTTTTGTTCAACATTTCTTTAAAAGCATTCAAATAGTTTCTCACCCTCACATGTTATGTTTGTGTTCTGAAGGCCTAAATATATCACTGTCTTGTTGCACATCAAGGCTTGTTTCAGCTGCTGTAAGCCATTGTTCCCAAGGTTGTTGTGTCCAAGGTTGAGAGTTTTCAAGTTTCCTATGTGTGGCTGGTAATATTCATTCAGTGTTATTTATCTGTAGTGTGAGTACTGACACGTTCTAAGTTATCTATCTAGTCTAGAAACACATTTTTATTTCAATCAGCACACTTCCTTTTACATGAAGTGACAGATGAAATTACAAAAGTATTCAAGATTTATCAGCATGTTAGAAACATGCACTCTGACTTTCAGAAAATCTGCCTGTCAAACATCACTTATGATATTATTATTTAGTAATCATATACCTATACAGACACGGGTATTATATTTTATAAAATTGTTATAATTTTTATGTTTATAATTTATAGGCTCCATCTTTGGTTATAAGAAAAATACCAAAAAAATATTTTGATGCTGCTCAATGTAATATACTCATATTTAGATTTCTTTTTAAACTTTAAACAATATATTTTACTTCCATTTATAACAGTACTTAAAAAAGTAACTCAGTTGTTGAATTTTACTAGGTACCAGAGAAATAGGGATTTAGTAATTTACACCAAATAAAAGAAATACATGAAAAACTAATAAAATACTTATCTTTAGTTTGTAAAGAAACAGCTGTATGCTACCTGCCAAATGTGTACCTCAGCTTTCACTTTAAAAATTGACTGTTTTAAAAAAAATTCTTCACTTGATACAACAGCAGAGTTGATACTTACAATTGAATGAACCAAATGTTTCATGCCATTACTTGAAATCTGGTTGTTCCACAGTACTAGTGTTTGTAGCCCAGATCCCCCCAAAGTAGGTTGATGACTTAATCCATCTAGTATATGAGACATTCCTAGGTCCTGTTTATATAAAACACATTTTTTTTAGCTATACAGGTATTGTTCAGTTAGCTACTTCACTAACTAATAGAGTCAGGATACATAACCAGGACTGTTAGTATATATAAAAAAAAAGAGTATTAATATCAATAAGAAGTTACCAACTGCAGTATTCAGATTAGCTAAAATTGGTGAAGACTTTTATGATTAAGTACATCAAACTGTTGATATAAATTATACTGAATAAAATTAGGAATACACAGCCAGATTAAGCAATGCACACTGATGTACCGAAATACAATTTTACATAAATAAACAGTTTATTATTATTATATATAAAGATTTTGTAGAACTATTTTAAAATACAGTTTTGAATTTAATTTCATCAACTGACACCAAAAACAACAACAAAATAATAATCATATTACTAATGATATACCAAGAAATTAACTTTCTATGTTACTTACAGTGATCCACCTACTAGAATAAAATACTTATAATCACAGTGGATTTCATTAGGCATCATTAATGTACCTGCAAATTATTGTTTCTGAGATCAAGCATCTCCAGCCAACTGTTGGCTCTCAGTAAATTTCCAACCTGAAGTCCATCAGCTGATGAAATTTTGTTATCTCCAAGGTAGAGTTCTCTTAGAACGTTGTTTAGTTTCAGTGCTGCCACTAGGAGATAAACCAAAAAGAGAATTTTAATTAAAAATCTCACTGACTAAAAAACTTGCAAATTAAATACTGTCACATGAAAAGAAAAAAGAAGACAATACAAAATTATAGGGATAATCAGTTACTTATTGACTGCTAAGCACTGATATACAACATAATTAAACTTTTAAAACACATTGAAATTAACATTTCTATCAGTATTATTCGGGTAATCTATACAATAAACAAGTAAACCCACTTACACAAAAATTACTGATATGACAAATGGCCATCTATTTTTCAGTGATATTACATACAATAATTAAGAATGAGCATGACTTACTCACAATAATTACAAACTTTTAAACTCACAATCAAATTAAATGCCTTTCGATCAACAATAAAATTAAAATTGACCATTATGATTAGTGTCCAACCAGTAACAACCAATTGTAGTTGATAAGTATGAACTGTGGTTTTTCCACCAAGCATGGGCAGATCCAGAGACTCAGTAAAAAAGGGGGAGGAGGCTATAGATAAAAAAGTATATATAATAATAATAACAATTCAATAAATTCAATGTGATAGTTTTAGATGTAGAATGGAGAATGATTTACGACTAATATCTATGATAAAAGTAAGTTTGAATGAATTTCTCCTGATTTTCATATGAATAGGATTCCCATAAAAAAAATTATTTTTTTTGCCAAAGTGGGGGCAGTTGCCTCTTTCCCCTTCTCCCCCTCCGGATCTGCCAGTGCAACCAAGTACATAACTGGCTCAATCATTATGACAAAATGATCTATAAAACAAGAATATATGACTTAGTTCTTATGTCAAGTGACTTTTTAATCACAAACCCAATTATCACTTAGTCATTTTGACTAGTCACTTTATTCAGTGACCATCTACATTAATTATTAAAAGGAATAATTGTTCAACCAAAGAACTACTGGACTTAATCACTAAGGTTGGTACCCTTCTTATCAAGAAATTATATCACTTAATCAGTTTGACTAATAATCTTCCCATCAAGAATATACTTGACTTAATCAATGTAACTAGTACTAGTAACCTCCCTATCAGAAAAATACTCAACATCATATAACCTTCAACTGTTCATACAGAGCTATCTCTTCTCATTTAGATTGAGAATGATAATAAATTGAACTTTATTAGCATGACTTCTTACTTATAAAAAGTCAACTATACTTATTCACAGTAACAATGACCTTACATTTGAGAGTTAACTATACTTATTCACAGTAACAATGACCTGACATTTGACAGTTAACTTTACTTACTCAGAATAACCAGTGACCTCCCATTAAGTCCAGAGTTCTCAAGGTGAAGAATAAACAAGCCAGAGCCAAGTCGAAGGGCACGGCCAAGTATAAGTAGACTCTGGTCATTTAAGCCAGTATTACGAGCATCTAAATACTTAATACAAGGAGTCTGGAATATAAAATGGACATATTTCTGAAAGTTACTAAATAACAAGTCTATATTATGTGCTGAATTCAAAGAGTCTCAAATAGTGAAATATAATATTAAGAAGAGACACCTGGAAAATGAATTAAGAAGATATGTTTATTAAATACAAATGATTTCTCAAACTCAATTAAAAACAGTGTGAATAAAAGTAAACAACTATTACTACATAATAACCATGAAAACATGTTTTTTGAGTTAATAAACAGTCCACAATAATCAAAATGTCTTTGCTACAGTATATCAAGCTTACAATAAAATAAATCTATAAAGTAATAAAGTGTGTCAATGCAGTCAACAAAGTATGCAATAAACAAGATGTTTCAGTGCAGTAAACACAGTTTACGATATAATAAACATGACGTGTCGTGTCTTCGTTTGAAAGAACAAAGTCTTACAACATAATATACACATTGTCTTCAATACATTAAAGAAAGGCTATGATAAAATAGTGTTTTCAGTACAGTATACAAAATGAACAATATAATAAACGTGTTATCTTCAACAGAATAAAAAAATTCTACAAATACAATAAACATAAGTGTTACATTATAATCAACAAGATAGCTTCATTACAGTAGACAAATCACGTGTTAAAAAAATCATTCATCAAACATCTATATTAAAGCAAGCAAAGATTGTGAAACATGATAAACTCTCAATGTGTCAGGAATAATAAATCTTGAAGCAAGATATATGAAAAATTACAGCTTCTAAAATATGTAGAGCATTATGAAATATAGTGTCATCAGTGTATCAGTGAATTAAAAATATTGTGTACATAATTTGCAAGACCATATATTATCTCATTTTAATCCTTCCACTTCTTAATTCTGAAAATTTTTCTCAGATGTTTTTACACACTTTTAGTTGTTTTTTCAGGTGTTTTTACACACTATTAGTTGTTTTTTCTGGTGTTTTTACACACTTTTAGTTGTTACAAATTAGCATCTGGTACTAAAGTTCTCAAGTAATCTTAAAGTTGTATTGATTCCAAAATAAAAATGATCCACAATGATGATAAGAGTGAACATGATGGGAGTTTCCTTTTCCAAAATTGATTATTTTATTGATTTTCATCCATAACAACTTGTCCTGATATCACATAAATTTGTTTTCTTCAGATGTTTTGGCATCACTTAGTTGGCAGCTTTGTTGAGAAATTATTAAATAAAGACTTCTATGTAAACTGAATTCTATGTTGATGAACATCAACATTGGTTTCATTTGATAAGGTAGAACAGAGTTCAACTAAATCAGAATTTCAAAGTATTGGAAAAGGTACTTACTTTTTTTAGCATGCGAGAACATGACTGCCACCCCCTTAAGCCAATGTGTTTGTTAAAAGATATATTCAAATTAGAGGCTGACTCGTAATATTCTATCATATCAAAAACTGCAGCTGAGCCCTGTTATAAAGTAGAATATATATATATATATAAACCAAAGTTGCCAAAACTATTCAAACATCAAAAGGAAATATTTTAAGAACACAAGCTTCTAAAAAATTCTTTACCAGGGCCATACATCAAAACTTATCATTTGATCATAAGCCACAGACTATTTACAGCAATTTAAAAAGTAACTTTCTAGAAAATATTTTATTTTCCAATGTTGGACAATCTTTTGGAAGAACATACTAAAATTTAGGGCAAAACCTGGTAAGTGTGTTTTTTTATCATTTTTTTACCACACAGAAAAATTTTTCTTCCCTAAAATAATATTTGAATTTAAATACCTATATTCTTGTAACAATAAACCAAACCAGTATGATTAATACAAAAGCATAAAAACATGTTCATTGCAGAAAGTAAATATTTGTATGAAAAGAACATATATATATATATATCTATTTCTTTAACATTTATCTAGGTTCTTGGGTTTATATGAAGTATGCTGTTTCAGAACAGGAGTTTCTAAATGCTATAGCATACAATGTGAAAAAAATCCATTACAAAATATTTTAGCTGCATTTCCAATGGACACAATGAAAATGTGCTATTTGTTGAAGGATTTGCATCTATGAGCACTCTGCTAAACAACTTTGAAAGATATTCCAATTAAAGATTATCACTTATGTTTCAACACAATCTTGTGAAAAACACTGGATGATAAATCTGGATTATATGGATCAATAACTAATTCTGCTTAAATCTCAAACTTTTTTAAGAAGGATGTCTTGCATTCTACTGTATACAGAATAGACACAATCACTGTTTTAAAACACAAATTCCATTATTGATTTATCACTTTCTATACTTGATTACCATAATCCAATGAACCTAGTAAATCATTATAACAGTTAATTGTGAAGAATGTGGTTCAAAGTCTAAACTGTGGAATACAATCATATACTGTAATATATTTTAACTACTAGGAGTGAAGTTAACATAAAGCAGATGTTTGAAAGGCAAAGAAATTAAACCTTGATGAAAAAAAAATGTGTTTTTGTAAAATAAAACAAGTTCAACATCATGATAGCCAGGCAATTCCTAGAAATAACTGAGCAGTGTAAGAAAATGGCAATCAGAAAAACCATCCAAAGTTATAATCAAGTTCACACATGCACACACACACATACATATATCATACAAAGGATAAATTTAAACACTATAAAGACAAACTGTCCTAAAAACTAAGTTTAAAACACAAGTTATAATATTTTAAAAAAGTTTTGGCACCAAACTAATGATATGCCAGTATATCTACATTATGTTTTATAGCCTGCTCAACTGGCGTGTCTCTGAAGAAGTTAAAAGTTGCCAGATAAATTACTGGTTAGTTTTCATATTTTGTGTTTTAACCCTTGCTTTCAATTAAATGTATTTGAATACAAACTTTACTTGTCTACCAAGGCGTATATCCATCTGTATAGTGTTTATATCTATATATAAATACAGTAATGTTATATAGAAACTTGATAACTTACAAAACAGATTACGCTAGCCATACCTCATCATCTAACCCACAAGCTTCCAGATCTACTGTTTGAAACTGGACTCTCTTGAAAACCTCCTCCAAAGTTTCACAATGTTTAGAAGTCAGTTTTTCACCTTTTACATCAAAAACAAATAGAATTCATACTTCTGGTTTAAACTTAAAAGACTTTTCTATATTATCTCTTCAAAATAGGCATGTTCAACATACAGCATACCATTGTTTGCTATATTTTTTCAGGAAATCAATTTTTCTCATTTTATTTTTGAAGTTGTTGTTCATTTTCATTTGAGAAATATATGCTTAATTTCAGTTCTAACACTAAATAGCATTATACAGATCAAATTTAAAAAAACAATTAAAGGCTAGTAAGTTGTTTATTACTTCTGTTGAAAATTCAATAATTAGGAAATCCAGAATCATAGCTATAGGTATGAATCAGAAATTCATAAAAAGTACTCTTATAAAGACTATTAGCCTTAAAACTAATAATATTTCAGAGAGAAAATTAAACATTTCTCAGCACGGACTCTTACAGATTAGTTGACAACTAACAACACGACTAGAACTGAGATATGAGTGTGTATGTCTATATATTTCAAGTAATAAAATAATTGCATAGGTGAGGAAATAACAAAATGCAAAATAGAATATAAAGTAGTGGTGAAAAACTCACCAAGTTAAATTTGTTTTATTAATAAAATTATTTTATTTATATTTTCTCTATTTATAAATACAGGATGAGACTAAAATAACTTGCCTTCCAAATTGTTAAGTTTCAGAATATTAATGGCTAATCTCATTTTACTGGTAATGATTGACATATCCTTTCATAATTATCTTAAGTTTCATTACTTAATTTTCAACGTATAACCGCATAAAAAATTATTATTATTCAAGACTTGGCAAGTTACTTTTGCCTCACCCTATACATATAGGTTGTGTGTGTGTGTGTGTTTTATTCTGTGGAATTCTCTACTTTCTATATTTATCATCATTAACATACTTTACTTTCAACCTATTTCTTTAAACATTGATTTTTATTTAGTCTAGAATGTTATAAGAGGATCGTACAAAGTAAATAAAATTTTACTTAGTTTATTCAGTTACCAGAACGACTCATTCAATCAACACACTAAGAAGCCTATCTGCACGTAAGCTCCATATCTTGTTAGTTAAAATAGTGGGATTATACTGAACATAAAAACCTTAAAGTAGGTTCACCCATAATATATAAATAATCTATTTACCAACTACATTGATTTTAA